ACCAAGGATGGAAAATCCCCAGAGATCATTGCCGAAGGAATGCCTACTTATGCATGCGTGTGCATCCTGGTGTTTATCTGGAGGCAAGATGTTGAACGGCCAGCAGAACTCTAGTTTGCGCTTGGCAAGTCCTGAGGCAGAGGGCAGTGGCGACATTTCATCTGACTCCGTGGGATGTACTTCTATAAGGAGTTTCCCATTTGTAAAATCTGTAGCTGGAGTGAAGATAGTGTTGGGTCAGAACAGCAAAGTAGACACAAGAGGACAAGACACCAAAATACAAGAACATAAGGAATAACTGAAGAAATCACCTCAGCGTGGAGAACCAAGGGCATGAAAAGTAATAACTGTTCAAAAATTTAGCATGAGAGAGTAACGCAGGTTTGAAGGAAGGTGCGTGTGGGTGAACAGGGTGAGGTTCAAGAAGAAATAAATGAAAAATAGTAAGTGGTGCGGCAAGTTAGTTTTTCTACATTCGGTAGAACAGCAGTACTGAGTGCTGTGGAATAGCAGTAAGAGACATTTCTACCGAATGCATAGTGAGTTACAGTGTAGCATGGGTACATCTGACTTTTGTTGTTGTTTTTGCTGTTCCATAATATTTTAAAAAGGGAAAGGGTGGAGGAAAGCATGTCCTTTTCTGACGTTGCTACAATGTCAGATTCGCTACAGATAAGTGTTACCTTCTAATAGTCCCTTGTTTTTATTTAGGCTGGAGTTACAGCCTGTGCCTGCTCTCTAGCTGGGGAAGAATTCTTGGGGGTTTTGGGGGCATGTAATAACAATGAGTTGTTACTAATAACATTTTCTTAATCGGTAGATAATTATTGTTCCAGCAGTTCTTGGCTTTCCTATTCCTTCCCCTACATCCTCCTCTCCTTAACCCTTCCCCCTCCGTCATTTCTAAAATATCCACACCATTAAGCTGTTTCTCTTTTTTTCTGTCTGATGTTGTGATGCATCGCTGGGTGGGACCGATTGATTCAGTGGAAAAGAGCACAGGTCTCTGGAATATCTCATTTTCTTTAGTGGCATAGCTCTGTCCTTCTAGAAAAGGGATTTTTTAAAATAAATTGAGGGATTTTGTTACCTTCAAACTCCTACTAGGAAATTAAATGGCAAAGCGCGTGAGTTGTTGATGTGTCAGCTTGTTGCACGCAGATTGTATTGCTTTCATTAGGCTGCTGTGCTACAAGGTGGGGAAGGCGAAGAGTATTTTAGCATTCGGGCATCTTTTTAAAAGAATATTTATGACCGATTTAAGCGTATTGTATACTGGTACAGTACTCCCTGTATTTGGGATTAGACCCCTCATAACTGTTGACTGCTGAAGAACTGAAGTATATCTGTCTCAGAAATGGTTTGTCTGTTATAAAGGCTGGACTCTTGTCATTTATGTTACTATCAATATGCTAGAGTCTCTTCAAAAATAAAGCTGATGGCAGCAGTGACGTCCTAGGTGGATTTCTTTGCTCAGTCTCTGATGCTGTAGAAAGAGAATTTAGTACTTATTTGTTTTTAGGAATTTCATAATCACAACTGTTTTCTTATGGTTTTAATAATATATTATTTTAATACATTTAAAATATAAATATTTTAATATTTGTCATCTTATTTCTTAGTATTTTAGCTGTTTTTTTCTTCTTATTTTTTTCTTTAATTCTTGTTTAGTTTTCCTGCTTTTAAATATTTCTTCTTCTGAGTAGGCGTCATATCTTTGCAGGATCCTGAGAAAGACATGACGATTCTTGGGCATATTCACAAGTAAACTGTTGATACTTCAGGCCTACTTAAAGAGGGATCATACAGTTAATTTTGACGGATGTTTATCTTAAAGTCTAGGACACCAGCATATGTTGCTGTGAACTGCTGGGCTGAGGTAAAAGGGAAGATTAAAGAGGAAGTGGAGTTTATTAATAGACTCCTGGATGACAATGGCTGCGCAGTGTGCACGGGTTGACTTTTGCTACGGGACTGGTTGTAAGAGATGAAAGAGCATGTGAAATGAGAAATACAGCAGAGAAAGCTGTACAGGTGAATAAATAATAAGCAAAGCACTGCACATTGTGTTATCCTTTTATGTTTTTCCCCTTCTCTCCATCATGCACTTAATAAAATATTTAAAGCGTTTTCTTAAAACGTTTTTTTTGTAAACATTTAGGTTGAAAGAAATGAAATTACCTGGTAATTTGGGGGAATTAGGAGCAGCTTTTTGATGCTGTTATAAATATTGAGGACAGATTTTAAATAGTGATTGTAAAGAGTTTGTTCATATTCGTATTTGGGAGCTTTCTTGAACCAAGCAATAGAAGCATCAGATAGCCTCTTGAAATTGGTATGTCAAAGTAGTTGTCTTGGCATTTCAGAAGCTTTTGATTTCTTTTTCACAGTGGAAAACTGCATGAGGGACAGGAAATACTGTTGGCTTTACTCAACTGCCAAATAGCAAGTGGTGTTTTGTTTGCCTATCAGCTAAAACTCACTAAAACTTTTGTGCTTACTTGGCAGAACAAGCTGCTTGCTTTTTTTTTTTTTTTTTGAAGGACAGGCAAGATTTCTGACTTCCGAATTTCACTATCACTTGATTAAAATGTAATTTTTAAAGCTTTTTATTTTTACTCTAAGTGGTGTTATGCCTTACAGTGGGCAAGTATTCAGTCATGAAACATGTTTTCTTCCACTAAGGTGGAAATCTGTTGTTCAGCTTCATTTAAAAGCTTCATTCAGCTTTAAAACTCACTGTGTTATGCTAACTTCAAAGCCTGAAGCTTTAAGTTCTAGTATATTACATTCCTTCTACTGAAAAGATCTGTTTCGCCAGTTTCATACAATCAAGTGGAGTACAAATAACAACTCAAGTATTTGTCAGATTAAGATGTCGGAGGAGTGAAATCATCTTGAATCTAAACCCAAGATTTTTTCCAGATCTCACTTTAAAGCAGATATTTGTGGAATTTGTTATAAATAGGGCTGTGAAAAAGATCACAAATGATAAAAGTACGTGCCAAATAGAATTATTAAATAAGTATTTTCTTGAATGATGTGTGCATGGAAAGCAGAGGAAGTTGGGGATATTGAAAAGCAATGGAGATAATTTGTGCAAGTTTTTTTGTATCTGGTCACTCTTACGAAATTAATCACAGAGTAAACTGTTAAGCAGGGTAGCAAATTGAGCAATGGTTGCAGACAGTGAGAATTAATAGCTGATAGGAAGTGTTGAGGAGCTTAATGGCAGCATGAGAGAACACTCTGAGTAGCTCTGGTCTGTGCAGTTGCTGAAACGGAACAAGGAGTACACAGTGACCTGGCAAATTCTGCTGAGAAAAATGAATATTTTTATCCTTTCAAGTCACGGGACAATTTCAGGATGCTTCCCAAAGGTTGTAATTGCTAATGAATTGAGCAGCACTGGGCAAGGATAGTAATTTATTGGAGACAGCTGCTAAGTACTGCACTCTATAAAAAGTGGCTTAGAGCAGCCAAACAGGCTACCAAATTGGGTCTGTGATATCTTTGTGGGGATGTGCAAGAGAAATGGAAGTAAAATATGGGTATGTCAGTAAAGTTGTTTTGCAAGAAGCAATGGAAGATTGAAAAGATTTATTTTATTTTTTTTAAAAAAAAAGATGCCAAGCAAAACTACCAAGTATGTGCTTACTAAAGGCAATACGACACTTCCACATGATTGCATTTGGCGGGTAATCAGTACAGCTCAGTTCCAGTTAGCTTTGCTAACTGCGTCTCAGGTAGGAGATGTCAGGTGGTCCTCAGAAAGGTATAAAAATGACTCGATTCTCAGTATAGAAGACCGAAAGCAGCTCGTACATCTCTTGAACTGACGGAAGACTTTATTGCTGAGGACAGAATTTGATTTTGATTGTGTTTTTACATGAAAGAGGAAAGTAGCAGAACAGATGTGCATACAAAATACAGTTTGTACTGTTGGTCAATCAGCTGCTGTCTCTTTGTAAAGCAGGAACAGAACAGTTAAAAGTGAGGTAGTAAGTTGACTTAGAGATTCAGAAGATCAGCTGGTTGTATGGTGGCTCTAGTACAACACAGTAGGTTGTGCTTCCTTTGGAAATGGAGCTTTTGTTAAGTAGAAAATATTTCTGATGTACTTTGGGCTATTTTGCAGAGTTAAAAGAGATATTTTTCCTAGTTAATGACTGACATGTAGAGAAATATTCAATGATATATTATTCATATATGTATAAATGAAAGAATATTTGCCCATGGTAAACTTGAATAGAGATCTGTTAATTGTTTACAAGCTTATGAAAGTCACTTTCCAGAGTCAATTTTAACTTCAATGGGCACGTTATTAAAGGGAGAAGGCATTCTTTTAACTCTTTCATCAAAGCTTTTTCAGTATTGCTGTTATATGAGAGGTTTCATTTGGCATGCCAAACTTTCAGGATGTTAAATGCTGCTTAAAAAAATTTAAATAATAAAAGGTTTATTTTAGTCCCAAAATAGCTCACCAAGTTTCCTTTTGTGCTAACAATTGTGTTTTGTTTTGATAATGCATCTTTCTAACAATTTAGCTGATAAGTTTCATAGAATATGTATCAAAAAGCCATTTCAAAAGTTTCATTTGAAAGAAATGAACTGAGGGTTTAAATCAAGCATGCTTGACTATCAAAGTTGCTATTTGTGCCATTTAGAACATCTTGTTCACTTCTGCAGTAGATGTTGTTCTTTGTTTAGTCAGCCTTTTATTTCTAAAGCCATTCCTGAAGACCATTGTATCAATAATAATAGCTTTATTCACTAAACTATAAATTATTTGAAGCAATAACTAACAAATTGCAATTGGGAGAAGTTCCATAACGGGTCTTTAAGGCATCACCACAATGCAAATAATAACAATTGAGCTTGTTGATGCAATTCCTTTCCCATTTCAACCATAATTTTCTCATTAGGTTTGTAGTACATCTGTATTAAACTTTCGTCTTTTAAGAGACTTCAATTCATATGCTGTTGTTTCTTTTCCCCAGATCATTTCCCTCAGTAAGCGACGATAAGAATGAATGGACATATATCAAACACCCCTCCTGGTGGATACGGAAGTTATTTTCCTCAAATGAAGTAAGGTTATGCCTTTGACTTTCCTTTTATGGACAAAAAATAGTGTTGTGTTTTCTTCTTTACGCTTTCATTTCACATAGAGCTATAATTATTAGACCCCACTGGAATAAAACAAAGGCAGTTTCTGTAAAAGAATGTGCAGATTCCAAACCGTGTAACCAAACTGATAGATATCATCTGACTGATTTTTGTATTAGTGTAAGGATAAAGCTGTATTACTGAATGGAATCATCTGGAACAGGGAAATAAATTGCTGTAGCCGTAACATACTTATTATACTACACGGAGATGTCTTCATATGCCTGAGATGTTTAAGGTTAGCTCTGAGTGAATGCACTTTTATGCATAAAAGATGAGGCTGCCCTTTCCGTCTGTGAGAAAATATTGTTTCCCAGTAAAGAGAACTGAGCAGCTGTTACCCAAAAGTGGTACCTTGCCTGAGATAAGAGGAGGCTCCCTGTATCAGAAGCACGGCACTAGGCTTGTTCGCAGCGCTAGTGAGAGTTGACCTAATCTGATGCCAAAGAACATGTATTCCTGTACGGAGCAGGGCATCTGTGCCATCATCTGTTTCTCATATTGTTGTCCCTATAAAGTGAGTTTGTATATGACTCATTCTTCTTGTTACTCTAGAATGAAGTTGGATTGCCTTTTTATTTGTTGTAGGCAAGGATAGTCCTTTTAAGTCTTTTATGAAAAGCAGTTAAAATTATTAAAAACAATTAACACTTGAGTATGCAAGAAAAAACCTGAAATCCTACCAAGTCTTTGGCGTAGTCATCACTATTATTTAGTGATTTTGTTAACTTACGTTATGGTTGTATCTATGTGTATACCACACCTCCATTGTGCATGATGATATATTAACGCAAAAAAAAAAGCTCAGAAGAGCTTCCAGCCTAAGTGAAACACTCTTCCTTGTATTCACGGTGTGGAACAAATATCCGGTATCATTACCTCTGTTAGTAATGTTGTATGTATGAGTAGACCTACCTAAGGGGAGGGCTTTTTTCAATGCCTGTTTCTGTGTGGCAAATACATCTATACAGAGGTTAACCAGAAGTGTTTTCTTCCAGTGGCTATGGTTCCCCAACATTTACTCAGGCAGAAAGGGAGCAGAATTCAAGAACAAGTGCAAAAGCTCTGTATGGTAAGGTGGCATAAAGTCTCTAAACTTTTATGTTAAAATTGTTGTCTAAATATTGGTTGTGATGTCATGGTGGAAATATTTTATGCATACAAATCTGAAAATGTATGTACACACACAGGGGTGTATATGTCAACAAAATTAAAGAACAAAGTGATTTTATTCATACTAAAACTAACTCGGCTAGCTAGAAACTGTTTTTATGGTTTACTGAGCAGAGATCTCCCACCTGCTAATTTTTAAGGCAGCAATGTATAACGCATATATCACAAAACTAAGTGATTCTATAGCTAAGGTATGTACCAGGAAGAAGTCATTCAGGCATCTAGCTGTGCTATAGGTTTGATTCATGACCTGTGTCTCCCGCTGCTTCCCCAGCTTTATCCCCTGCTAGCAGAAAAGCAATTTACAATATTATTCTTGTTTGACACAAGGATTTAATGGAAATTAGATTTGATGTAACGGATTTGGAGTCCTGTTTAGCCTGCTATTTTCAACAGGCTTTGTGACTGTCAAATGTGACGTTACTTACAAATGCCTAAACATTGTTGCACTTACCACCTACAAATGCTAGTATTTGTCTTGGCCGTATACACTACTCTCTAGCCCATGGCCAAATCGCTGTGGAGGCAGAACGTAGTCATGTTCCTTGCCAGCCAAATTGCACCGTTTCCTGGTCGTCCACCTCCACTGTGAATAAATCCTGCTGATAGCGGCGCCGGTAATGAAAATACAAGCAGCAATGAGGCTGAGAGATGTTCTGCTGTGTAAATCTGTGCCTGTTGTTAAATGCTCTTTGGAAAGTCAGTACAACTGATGAGACTGGAAGAACGGGGTTTGCAGTGAGAACCCAGTCCTGCGCAGGACCCCTCGCACCTCAGCCTGCTCTCCCTTGTTGCATCTACCACCTTTTCTGCAGGTTAACAAACTGGAAAGCTCAAAGAGGGGTGGCTAATAAGTGTAACATCCCTAGTAGTAACTAATCTTTTCTCTCTCCTGTTTTGGGTGGGGTGAGGGCTGGGAGTGACCCTAGGGGTTAGAGGAGTGATGGCAGGATGCTTTGTGGCATTAGAACAGCGTTAAGTTTACCCTTGGCGGGGTACCCTGCAGGCCTTCAGTTTGGTTACTCACCCGTGAGCACACAAGAACAACTTTGTTCTATTGGTTGCCTTGTTGGCTTTCAAACTGCTTGAAAATTCATGAGGTTAACAGCCCACAAAGGAAGCTGGAGGTCTCTTGGCTTAGTACCCTCTGAAAAAGAGGAGTGGTGTGAAAAAGCTGACATTTTTTGGTGGCTGAAGGCACTGCTAGAGTAGTGTGAAGGTCCACTTCTAGAAAAATCAGCAAAGACAGAAGTAGAAACCGTTTGAAGCATTTGTCATTTAAAAATGACATTGCGCATGAATCCTTCTAAGTTTAAATATATCTTTTTTAGTGGCACGCTGCAAAAGTCAGTCATTTGACATAATATTAAAGGCAGGAACTGCAACCGAAGTAAATTCTGAAGTGATCATTTTAAACAGTGATTTCTGCATCCTGTATGGGTTCACTCAACAAACTGATTGCACATGTTGGCAGAAATAGTAGGTGGTAAAAGAAACCAGCAAGAGACACTGCAGAAAAACTTTTAGCAGATTATTTCTTTATGAGGCGTTATGAGAGCGTTGTACTTTTTTTCATTTTGTATCATCATCATCGTAATTTTTCAAGGGTTCGTGGTTTGAACAGTGGGGCAGTAAGTGTCTTAACAATGTCCTTTAATCTTTGCGGGCTTTTAAAATAATACCTCTCTGAGCTTTTTCATATCAAACATGATGGGATAGTCATATGTCAGTAGAAGATGGGGACAAGTTGTGTAAATTTGAGGTATATAATGGTAAATAGCCTTTTACTTCTAAAATACTTAATTGAATTCAGGTACTAATTGAAAATGCTTACCATGTAACTGCTGTGTGGTGGCTCCTGTAGAATGAATTGTTGATCTTGATTCACTTCCATTGCTGGTAGGTATATCACAAAACTGTAGTTGCAGTTACCAGGAACTGAATGAAGTAGAAGACTCAATTATCCTGGAGCACCGAGTGAAGATACATTGGCACAGCTTTTAGAGAGGAGTTTGCACATTTTACTGCTTCTGCTCTGTTTGGTATGCATAAAGAGGAGTGGTGTGAAAAAGCTGACATTTTTTGGTGGCTGAAGGCACTGTGCTAGAGTAGTGTGAAGGTCCACTTCTAGAAAAATCAGCAAAGACAGAAGTAGAAACCGTTTGAAGCATTTGTCATTTAAAAATGACATGCTGTCAGTATCACCAAGTGTATGAACTGGAGAAAACAAGGAAAACACCTAAATTCTTTCTCAAATTCAGGGCCATTATATTATTTTTTTTTTTATTTTAGCAACCAAGTTACCATTCTGCTGCATCCCATATGTGTTTTTTCTTCCTTTGTGATGTTAGGGATTTTTGTGCATGCAGTCCCAAGGGGGGTGGGAAGCAGCTGAGTGATACTGGAATTGTTAAAATGTGTTCAAAATTCTTATTGTAAAATATTTTATTTATAATTAATAACGACAGTATTTTATTTGAGATCCATGAGACTGAAAGACTATAAAGCAGATTGGAGGTGTCCTAGCTTTCTTTTTATATTTTATATTATGTACATACTTTATTAAATGTACATATTTTATTTATGTAAATACATAAAGCTCATGTATTTAATAGATTCACTTATAATATATTGGAAAAAATATATATAATTTTAAGGTAAAAGTAAAATGGACCATGGTTGTTTTTTGTTTTTTTTTTATAAAATGGGACAATGTAATGTTAGCAGCAAACTTAACCCATGACAAACTTCTTTTTCTTGGAAGACTTTTGAATGTCGTTTGGACTAAAACACCTATCTATGGGTATCAACAAGCGAAGATGCTACCTGAGCTCCTAAGTGACTACTTGATCTTGAACTCAATGTCTTCCAAGCACAGTAAAGACTAAAAAAAATGTTATTGTTAATAATAATGTGTGTATATGTATATATGTGTGTGTGTATATACACACATGTGTATGTCATGGAACGAAGTTTATCTCTTGAGTCCCAGTGCTGAGGTGCTTCGTGATTGTTCAGTCCTTTGGTCACCAAGCAGAAGGTTGGCCACAGTGCCAGTGGGAAAGAAGGTTGGAGTTTTACTGGTGTTACAGACAGTTCAGTTAAAAAATAGACCGGAGCCATCAGTATCTCTGATGTGGTTATCTGATAGCAAAAACTTCCTTGCAACTGCCTTTTTCCTGTGTCGAATAATCCCTTTGTTTTCACTGGTTTCCTTCCTGAAATGGACTGGTTTCTATTTGCATGATAAATCTCTGGCTGAACTGGGAGGGAAGATGCCCTCTGTGCATTCTTGTGGGGTTTATTTCATCATTTACTTCCTGATCTTCCCATCAGAAGTGGGTTTTGGCTCGTACTGTCATCTGTTGTTCTGGCATTGGCTTCTCCATCTGTCTTCTGCAGCTCTGCTTGCAGGGGGGACGTGCAGCATCAGTCGGCACCAGTAGCCAGGGCTGTGCTGGGTTTTTGCCAGCGAGTGATGCAGTGTGGAGCCGCCCCTTTTCCTCAGGAGTAGCTCCACATTGTTATGTTATTATACGGCACGGAATTGAAAGACGTCACTAAAATTGTCTTCGCGCTGCATCAGAAAAGGCTAGCTGTTTTATACGTGGTGTTTATACTCTCATGGTTGTGATTAGGGGCTAGCAGTGAAATTGCATGTGTATTTTTGCACGGCTCAAATACCTCATTCAGAGCAAGAACTGTAGTGTAACAAATTTAAGGAAATCACAAGCGGATCACAGACTAGGTAAATGAGTCCATTAAAAGAAGCCATCCATGTAACATGCTTGTGTTGCTTGATACTTGAATGAATTAAACTAACAATTGGCTTCTAAACAATACACTTTCACTGATAGCTAATTCCACATAGCCATAGGGGAGAAGCTTGTGGCACAAATCTCTGAAAGTGCCACTGGTTGCTCCTCTCTTAATGAGATTTGTTTTGAAGTCAAGTTTTGACCTTTCTCCCCGGATGTGTAGGTCACGTCTCCTGCACTTTGCTTTCAGTCTCAAGTTGAGTTTTTCCAGCCGCTGCAATACATTCCTAAAAGGGGTGTCAGCAATCAGTCCACTGCAAACCATAAACATACAGTAGTAAACTAAGCATTGGGCTTTCCTGCTTGATGATGTGTGGTAATAATCCAGAATTCTTAGGACAGCTTGTGAGGGAGGCTCTTAACCCATCTTCACATGGATCATCATCAGATTTGAGAGCTTTGTCTCTTTGTGCACTGTACAGACATTTTCCAGTTTGGCTATGGTAGGGGAAGGTGGGATCCCCCATTGTCCTTCTTTGTGCTATCATAACCATAGCACCAATAACATTTATAACGTCTGGCCTATGCAATTATTTGTAAAACATCAGTGGAAGCCTGGGCATCAGGATTCCCTGTTTCTGTTTTAGGCTTTTAGGAACTGAAAATTTGTTGTACCTAAAGGTATCGTAGCCCTAACCAGCACCACCCGTGCTTCAGGTCGTCTGTTAAGACCTAGACTGAGGTCTTTTGCTTTTTTTTTTCCCTACCGAGATAAAGAATTGGATTTCTCTTGCTGTGATACGTTTCTCTGTGTGGTCTTCTGGACGGTGGCACAGAGCCAGGCTACGGCAGAGTTTATTAAACATCTTTCTAATTTGCCATATAGCTGCACCTTCTTCCAGTTGGAAAATGGGCGAGACAGGACTCTTAACTTTAGCCATGTCAGGTTCTGTTCATAGCTCTGCCTCAAGGGACCTTAGGCCACACTGGTGTTTCTGCCTGAAACTGTGGAATAGTTACCTTTCCAACGCGTGAAATAGTCCTTACCAGAAATAACTGGGGAGAGCACAGTTCTTGGTGTGGGGAGGGCAAGGAAGAGAATGAACGAAGGCAATCTCAAGTCCTGTTTGTTTGTGTCGTG